GTGGCAGTGTAGTTTGCAAGAAGGAAATAGAAAAAATGAAGTTGTCACAAATGAAACCAACAAGAAACGAAACCAAATCAATAGAATGTACATGTGGGTGCAAGATGTGTCAAAAAGAATCCAAGAAAATTCTTAATGCTATAGAGAAGGTAAAAAAAATAAATTTGCTAAAGAAAGAACTAGAACTACTTGAAAAAGATAAAGACAAAATATGCAAACCGCAAAAGAAAATAAAGAAAAAAATACCGGTCACCGAAAAATGTCAGACAGACCAACGTAAAGCTAAACAGAAACGAGAACAAACAGTAACAAAGTTTGAAAAAAAATGTGCTGATAACGAAAGGTTACGACAAAAATTAACACACGAAATTAATCAAAGCGCACTGAGGCAAGTAAACAAGTGCAACAAATGCAAACGATCTGGTTCTAATGAAGTAGACGCTGCCAAGATTTGTACAAATGCTATTACAAAGATATTTAAATACACATATAATACACTAATGAATCCAGACGAATTCTGTGAAATGATGCAAGATCCGTGTGATACCCTGAATACATATTTCAATGATAGGAAGGCTGGAAAAAGAAAGCGCAGAAAAAAGCGAAAGAAAAAAATGAAGAATAAGCGACACAGGACACCTTTAGATTTTGATTGCAATCCCTATGTACACATGGAATCCCTATACACAAAAGCTAAAACGCCACGATTATCTAGTTTTTTGTTTTTCCCCTGTATATTATGTAGGAATTGGAAAAGAATTTATAAAACACTTCTTTATATATCCGCCTTTATTATATGGTTTCCATGTTTAGCTTGCTTTGAAATTTTCAGATTTATGTTTTATTGTTATTTTGGCACAAAGATAAGTGATAATCGTTTCTAATGAAATCAATTGTCGTTATAAAATAAAATAATTGTTTTTTATACTTAGCGTTTTATTAATGAAAAGAAAAATCATTGAATTAGTACGTGTGTAAGTACAGCACACAACGGGGGACACAATCCATCTAAGAGGAAAAGTTACATGTATTGGATTTATTGGCTTTTATTCTCCAATCTTTTAACTAAGCCAAAACGTCATTTAGGCTCTTTTACATTATTTCCGACGCAGCCACAGAGCTATCGTGACTTACCGTAAGAGCAGTGTCATCAGCGAATGTCGCTACAACATCATACATGAGTAGGTGATAGGTCAAAATCCGGGGCTAGTCAACTAAGAGGAACCGGTGCTTCCTCTCCTTCCGGTGGTGTCGGTGGTACACCGGGGAGGTTTAAGTGATATAAAAATCCCACTCTCCCCAGTCTTTTTTCACAAAACAGTCTAAAATATATATCTAAACTATACCTACCTACTATATAACATTATAGATATTAAAAAGCTGAACTTTATTTGTTTGAACGCGCTATTCGCGGCAACTAAACACTGATTCTAATTTCAATATTATTTTAATGTTGGATAGTTATTTTATTAAGCAGGCCCATAAACTATCAATAGAGTCTAGTAGCGGCCACGCGGAATTAGCTAGATAGGTATAAGACATATCGCATTTCGCTGCCTTGAGGAACATCCGCTTAGATTTCATAAAGATTACTTCTGACTTCCTGTCGTTAATATATTGTTGGAAGTATGATTTGATGGTGCAAAATAAGTTGTTGGTATAAACTAAACCTATTACAATACCTAAGTATAATTACTTTGTTATTTTTACCCGACTGAAGGAAGGAAGGTTTTTTACTATTCAGATAGGCTTCCTTATACGTGAGAGGACCCTAAAACGTTAATCATGGTCTTTAGTTAGACTTGAGTTGGACCGATTATGCGATCGTGGAAAAATCGAAGAATACCTCTTTTCGAGAAATACATTTGTTTCAAGTGATCACGAACTCCTTACATCAGCTTGTGTTTATAGTTGAAAAAATAAAACAATAGTATAAGATTGTGACATTAATTTGACATTTTATTCTTAGACATTTTGCTGTAATGTGCTAAGTTATATTAAGGAAAATTGCATATTTAGAGATTATGTATCTTGATGTAATTTGGAGAAATTACTTTGATATATAAGTTATTGTGGACTGTGTGGTCGTATCACTTATGGTACAGCAGTACCATCATGCATCAGCCATTGATACATTATACACGTTTTACATTTTAAGAAAATTTTGATGGTACGATTTTCATCTGAGCTTATTTTCTCATTTTTAATATCTGCAGAGGCACTTCTACCGTTAAAGGAACTAAAATGCAATTTAATTTCAGAGTACAAATGGTGGGAGTGTTAATATCAAGTTTTTAAACAAGTTGTGTGAAAAATTTATGACAACAAGAGTAAAAATTGGCTCTCAATATAATCTACCGGTTACAATCAGGAAATGTACGTCATAATATAGACAAGTAAAAGCTACTTTTGGCTTTAGAGAAAATTAACTGTGTTTAATTAATTAACTAGTGAGCATTCGAAGGAACATGCCAAAACATCGAAGATTATCTACAACACGCGGTCAAACCGCTCTGTGCAACAGATTATGTGACAAATCACAAGCTCACGAAAATGTTATACCACTACAAAGAAAATCTACAAGTGTATTAAGTTTCAAAAAATCAACGCAACAGCTTCCCAGGGCACTACGGCGCAAGGATTTAAAATCCTTGACATATTTAAACAGTGCTTACAATGAACCAAATAAAGCCGTAACTTTAAAGTCATGTATTTCGTCCCAAAAACAAAATGACAAGATTAAAATGAAAGTTAAATTTTATATTAAAAAGACCGATAATAATCAGTCTTACTGCGCCAGTGCAACAAAATCGGACCATGACTTTGATAAGAGCATTACGAAAAGAAAAAAAGAAACCCCAAAACTGCACTCAGCATACGCAACGCTGCACAGCAATAAAATAGAATTTAATGGAACCAAAGATATGGCAGGTGATAATAACCGTTTAAAAATAAATGTAAAGCCAAAAAAGTCTTTCGAAGCAACTGGACAGAAATCAATAATGAATACTTTGTTTTTAAAAAGAAACATTGCCAGTAAATTAAAAAATATAATTATTGAAAAATCTAAGCAATTTTCTGATACCAGCTTGAAACGTAGGAGGAATTCATTAAAGTTAAGATTTTGCAATAGCTACTCGTCGATCGTAGATTATGATAAATTTGAACACAATGTGAAAACAAATGTGACAAGACAGCAGATCATTAGTAAAACTTCGAAGAAAACTATTATTAAGCAAAATAAAGTTACGAGTGACAAATGTAAACATCCGTCGTCAAGGAGTGAAACCACCCATAAGACAAATGCTAAATCAAATGAACCTCACGGAAATACAAGTTGCACTCCAAGTAAAATGTCAATTTCAACTATATTTAAAAACATTAACCTGACTAGCCAACTAAATTTAAAAAAACCCTTACCCACGCCAAAGCGAGATCACAGGAGTTCTGAAACCACGAAAAGTGCTTTATCAGCGGTACTTTATCACGATTTTTCTACTACTGGTAAAAAATTTAAATTATGGAGAAATCACGATAGTTATAAAAAGCGACGTTCTTTATCAATTAGATTTGGTAAGCAAACTTCAAAACAAGGTCTCAAATATTTTAATGAAATACAAAACGCAAAAAGAATAATTAATACACCAAAAGCGAGTGAGGAGTCAGAAGATCTTAATATTAATAAAATTAATGTTTTATCTAATAAGAAACTAAAACGAAAGCGAGGACTGAAACATTTATTTGAAAGGACTAAATCCCAAAAATCAAATAATCATGTAAAATTTGAAAAAGAAAAACAATTTTCAAATAATCCAACTCTGCCTACATATGAATATGGTAATAGTGGTGTGAACTTAATTGAGAGTCAAAATAGTGCATTGGATTTTAGCTACGCAAAAAATAAAAATTCTCAACCAAATAATTCATTGATCACAATGAAAAAATCAGCTTCTAAAAACAATAATTGTAACAAAGACTTATCAAGTGAAAACATGGATGAATTTTCAAAGAATTTTAAGCAAAATAAAGTTCTTACTAATACAAAAATTGAAGAACCGTTTTCAAATTCTACGAAACGACAAATAAATCCTGTGTCAAAACTGAACAAAATAAACAATTTTGGTAATAATTCAATGGAAAATTCGTCGAACTCGCGTGTTACGAATAAATTATCTAACAGAATTTTTACATTCAATAAATGTTATGACAAATATAAAAGCATTAGTTTGTTATTTAGGCGCCAACCAGAATATACTTTACAAAAAAAGAATAAACAAACGCAAATTAAGAAATGTTCACCAAGAACAAACGAAATTCCATTGTTAAACAATTTCTCTCAACCACTAAAACAAACATTGAAATCGGAACCTAGTGACAGCAAAGTAAAAGAATCAATAGTACTTTCTCATGACACAATAACACTTAGACCTGAACATTCCCAAAATTCTCATTTATCAATAATTAAAGAAACACAATCTATCATGTCATCTAAAATTAATCGAAATTGCGCAATATGTAATGGGAACTGTACATGTCCTTCAATTAAAAATTCACAAAATGAAGTTAAGAGACCGGACAACTGTTGTATTGTTGAGCTATATAAGATAAACAGCAATAATCAGCTTGACGATAAAAATTCAATGAATGTGAGTGATAGACACATATATAATTTAAAGGACACAGCTAAACACAAAGAAACATATCCTAAATTAAACCAAAGAGAAAAGTTGTTAAAAGAACAAATGTCATCTAACACAAACCAATCCAAACATTTAAAAGAAAATGTAAAAATATCTAAGAAAATGAATAATACCCGAGAAAAAGTAGATCAAAATTGTCAAAGTGAAACAATAACAATAGCAACAATGAATAAAGCAATCGAAGTGCTATCGAATAAAGACAATACAGCTTTAAGCGAAGAAAAGAATAATTTTTTCCAACATCATATATACCAAGGTCTTCTTATATCTCGAAAGTGTAGACAGTGGTATCTAGCAAAAATGAAAGCTGTACATAAGGCAGAACATTTACATCGAAGTAAAAAAACTGCAATAATAAATAAATGTGAATTTAATCAAATAGAAGAAGAGCCCAAACCTGAAGGTCTAACACTAAAAGTGAATCCTCAACCAATACCTAAGGAGTGTATTCCGACATTTTTAGATAAGCCCAAACAATTAAAAGATGTTATGAAGACTCCGTTGCCTTCTAGTTGCAAACTAGATCTTGATTATTCAAAAAATAAACCTGGCGTATCATTACATTCTAGGAGAAAGAGTACTTGTGATAAGCAACGTCTGTCAAGTAGTAACAAAGAACAGGATATTTGCCAAAAATGTGATAGGCCTCTCTCTGAATGTGTGTGCAAAGATAAAAAGCAAGCCGACAATAAAATAGACTCTAAACGTAAAGTTTGTCCAGGCATTAAACCAAAACCATACGATCCTTGTCCAGATATTAAACCAATTGATCCTTGTCCGGGCATTATACCAAAATCATTAGATCCTCGTCAAGACACTAAATCAAAACCATTAGAACCTTGTCCAAGTACTATACCAAAACCATTAGATCCTTGTCCTGCACGTGAAGATAAACAAAAAGACAAACAGAAAGACAAACAGAAAGATAAACAGAAAGACAAACAGAAAGACAAACAGAAAGACAAACAGAAAGACAAACAGAAAGACAAACAAAAAGATAAACAGAAACCTTGCAAATCTCGAAAATCAACCAGTGCCGATAAAACTCTTGATAAAAAAAGAAAGAAAGAAAAAGAAAAGCCATGTAAATCACAAATTAAACGCAAGTCGTCAAGTCATAGTCTTATATGTAGTGATAAGAAACAACACACTGTTTCCAAATCTAGAAGAATGTCCTCTATAAAAAAATATTTCCAGAAAACAAAACCAACTTGTGATCCAGATTGTAAAAACCTTTCTAAAGTAAAGATTAAAGATAAATCATCAAAGCAGAGTATAAGCGACAAATGTAAAGATCCAAAACGAAGTCCTTCAAAATACGATGTTGACAAACGACAAAAGAGCGACAAATGTAAAGATCCAAAACGAAGTCCTTCAAAATACGATGTTGACAAACGACAAAAGAGCGACAAATGTAAAGATCCAAAACCTAGTCCTTCAAAATATGATGTTGACAAACGACAAAAGAGCGACAAATGTAAAGATCCAAAACCTAGTCCTTCAAAATATGATGTTGACAAACGACAAAAGAGTGACAAATATAAAGAACCAAAACGTAGTCTTTCAAGATACGATGTTGACAAACGCCACATAAGTGACAAATATAAAGAACCAAAACGTAGTCTTTCAAGATACGATGTTGACAAACGACACATAAGTGACAAATGTAAAGATCCGACCTCGATTAGTGGAATTCTCCAAAAAAAAGGCCTACTTCATAATTCAGATACAGATTCAGATTCAAATTCAGATTCAGGCTCAGGTTCAGATTCCGGTTCTAATTCTAATTCTAGCTCAAGTGCAATTTCAAGTCCAAATTCAAGTTCAAGTTCAAGTTCAAGTTCATATTGTAAGCGCCCCAAAAACCGTAAACCATCAAGTCCTAATCTTAGAGATAAAAATGTTATTAAGCATGATTTTGGTAATAAGGATCATTCTAAAATATTCAATAAATGTAAATCATCAAATCATAGTCTCGCAAGTGAACGTAACAAACGTCTTCCTAAATCAAGTATGTCAAATTCTACAGTTAGAAATCTTCAAAAAAAATCAAAAAAGTGTGATTCATATGATAAAGACCATTACAAATTACCCATTAAACGTAAATCATCAAATCGTAGTATAGGAAGTGGAGACAAAAAACAAAATATTTGTCCCAAATCCAAAAAACCGGCGCCTGTATATGTACATCATCTTATAAAAGAATCCAATCGTGCTTCTGATCGCGAGAGTCGTTCTAATTTACAAACTAAACTTAAACCACCTAATATTAAAAATGGAAAATATACGCGTAGACATTCCATGAAACACGTAGCTTCTATCGCTAAACAACCCATTTCATCAAAAAGCAATCAAACATTGTCGGACAAAAATCAGGTCACTCCCACTGGTGATAATTTTTTACAAAATAAAATGAAAGCCTGTAAGTGTTACCTAAAACGTAAATTTATTAGACAGAGAAATGCAAAAAATAATTATCGATGTTTTTGCTGTATATGTAATAAAAAGTTTTCCAAATGTGACTGTCTAAAAAATTTACAAAATCTTCAAGATCTGAATGAAAAAGATGCAGTCTATGTAACAAATAAAATTCAGAGTATTTATAAAAACACACCTTTTCAAAATAAATCACAAAATTCTATGGAATCTATTTCAAATCCAAGTAAAAGTCACATTATTAAATTAGACACGAATAAAAAACATAATGAAGAAAATATAAAATGTTTAATTTGTAAAGGACTCCTTCGTAAATGTGATTGTTTTTTCAAAAAACAACTTAAAGCTAAATCATTAACTACCAACTACTTTATAGAGAAAAATAGAAAGAACTCCCAAGAATATAATAAAGCTTATTCCGAAGGTTCATTTATCTCAAACCAACACAAAAGGGGTAGTTATTTTGAACGTTTCCGGCGCAAACCATCGGAAAATATAAAACATATTCTTACACAAGAATTTGAACGCCGAATACTAAAAAGCGGTCAAAATCAACAACTAAACGATCAGATTACAAATAAAAAACCTGGCTCGAAACGATTTTTTGATATAGGCCAACGTAAAAAATCTGACGTTTTAAATAAAGATATACGTAACTATATAGAGCTTCTAGCTCAAAGAATTGAAAGTGATTTGTTATTTAACGTCGAACAAAATAACAATGAACAATATATACAATCGCTACGCACTCAAAGTTCAAATGAGAGTAAACAAAACAGTCCAGGAAAGTCTGACAAATCAATTTCTAAACGTACATACTCTAGTTTACAAAAAAATAGACGAGGTCATATTTATAAAATAATAAACGACCATTTATGTTTTCTTGTTCAAACAATTGAAACAAAATGTTTAGATCGTCTTCACCAAAACGAAAATAAAAAAACTGAAAATAAAAATACAGACCTAAGTAGTAAAATCGGACTCTTAAATACTAACAAATCACTACGCGAGGGTATTAATATTGAAGCTAGGAGAACTAAACCAATTGATAAAACTTTGCAAAAAACTGGAAATACTAACAAATCACCATGCGGAGATATCAAAAGTGAAGCTATTATAACTAAATCAATAGATAACCAACTGGATAAAGCTTTGCGAACATCTGGAATTTGCTGTCGAAAAAATTTTAATGAGCAAAAAAAGACACTTGAACAACCTGGTCAAGATACACGTGCAACGGGAAAAAAACAATTACCTTGTTTTAGTAACGACGCTTTGTCGAAGAAAAAGGATGACTGTGAAAGTTTTTTAGCAAATTTAATGAAACGTGGCCTAAGTCTTTGTGCCGCAAAAAAGAACACTGAAACACCGAGCAAATCACATGTTAAACGTAGAACTCTAAGTTATCGTCGCTTAAGTAAATTGAAAATGAAACCATCAACTCAGAAGAAAGATGAAATAACGGATACAAATTGCAACTGTAAAGAATTAAGTAAAGGTAAAACATCAATATTATCAGTTGACCGCCGTTCTTTCAATAAGTGTAAAAAGAAACCTTCAGATATTACACACAAAAAGAGTAAAGAAAATCTAAAAGACCGTAAAAACGAAGGCTTTCAAGTTTCACCCAATGAATTGAAAAAAACTAGAGGTATACGTTTCACATATCGGCCACGGCCACGCGGCAAAGGAAAACCTACTATCCCGAGTGATGTAAATTGTAATAAGGTTGGTTTACGAGTAGAATCAAAACATTGGTTGCTAGAAAATCAACACAAACAAACTAAATCAAAAGGAATTCATATTCGGACTCGTTTAAAGAAAAAGACAAAGAAGAAAAAGATGAAGATAAAGATAAAGAAAAAGAAAAAGAAACCGAAACGTCAAAAACCAAGTAAACTTAAGAAACTAATGAAGAAAGAAACAGACAGACAATCAAAGAGACTACAGAAGAGACTAAGAAAAAGATTAAAAAAGGAATTAAGAGCAAAGTCATGCAAAAGGATGTCAAAACGCTTGAGGAAATTTTTAAGAAAACTAGACGTGGAATGCGACCTTAACAAATATGCATTAAAGCACAGGCCGCTTCCTTTTGCTCGTAAACCTAGTCTTTTTACCGCTTTTAAACAGGCTGTGAGCTTTGTACTTGTTGGTCTCGCTGCAATGACCTGGATTCCATTCTTTATTCTATTTACTATTTTTAGATGTTTACTCTGTTGGTAATAAAAAATATTTTTATGAAAATTGGATTTAGCTGAACATGAACACCACACGGGAAAATATCAGACAAAGTACAGACTCCATACTATGCCGAGAATAAAGAAATCGAATGATCCAGCATCATTATCATTATCTCCACCCAGTAGACATCCATTGCACGCTTGGTAGGTTGTTCGAGGTTTACAGTTACGAAACCGATGCTGCTACCTACAATATCGATTTCTAAAATTATTTTTTATGTCGGCAAACCAGCAGGCCGATCATCTGATGGTAAGTAATCGGCGCTGTCCCGAAACACTAGAGTCATTAGTGGTTTTTTGAGGGTTAATCATTTGTAGAGATTGAAAAGGAGAGAATATAGACCCTTCGATAAACTCACTTACACAGTGAAACACAACATGAGTGTTGTTTTACGCCGATTTTCTTTGAGGTTGTGGTATCACTCCGCGTCGTCGGCCGGGCGCGACGTAAGCATGGCTCTCACTCACTTCGGAATAACAATGCTTGTAGTCTAGTGAAAACTCATACTATGTCAATAATAAATAAATAAATAAATAACCTAACAGAATTAATTTTATTTTTCTTAAACGAGCAGACGGATCACCTGAAGGTAAGCAATCGGCGTCGCCCATGGACACCTGGAACACCAGAAGCGTTACAAGTGCGTCACCGTCCTTTTGGGGATTAGGAGTTTGAGGATCGTTGGGGATTCAGGGATTGGGGAGATTGGGGAAGGGGAGGATAAATTGGGCCTCTGGTAACCTCACTCACACGATGAAACACAACGCAAGCGTTGCTTCACGTCGGTTTTCTGTGAGGCCGTGGTATCACTCCGGTCTAGCCGCCCCATTCGTGCCGAAGCATGGCTCTCCCACACTTAAATGGCAGACAATTGCAATTGCTAACACTAAAATTTCTTCTGTGTCGTTTACGAACATACACTTGGGACCGAATAAACGGAGCCACCAACGTTTTGTTTTTGCATTTTATTGAACCCTCTATCTATAACTCAAAAAAAGAAAATAAATATTTCTTTTACACCAAAATGTTCTCATTTTAAAGGTAATTAAATTGCCATTTACGACATACGATAACATTTAATAAAATACTTGAATCAGTAAAATAATACCTGGTTGACCGCTTTGCCTGGCGTGTTTTAGTAACTAGGTACATATTGTTTTTAGAAATAGAAGAAAAAATTAAAAATAAAATAGAATACATAAAAAGTAAAAGGCACATTCGGACCGAGGTTTGAACTCGAATGTCGAGTGTATCAGGCGTCCGCTCTTCCCTAATAAATCATTTTTAAACTCATCTTCAACTTTAACAATAATGGCGAAATTTACCATCGTATTTGAAGAAGGATGTTTGTTCAATAAAAACACGTACAAAGCGACATTTACTGAAAACTAAACCTAGCTAGATCGATTTATCGCTCCCAAAACGCCCCGAATACAAAATTCCAAGAAAATCGATGAAACCGTTTCCGAGATCGTTGATATTATATACCCATACAAGAATTGCTCGTTTAAGGACAGGTATCAGAATCATCAAGAAATGAAAAAATAAAAAAGTTAATGGCTTCTTTTCTTTACTCCGAGGTGTAAATAAACAAGTCATACACATTTACACACCACATCCAAACCTGGAACCACAATTTGAGGATCACATAAAGAGTTCTTCTGTGCGGAAATTGAACCCGCGACTGTCACTGAGCAAACCCTGCAGTCACATATCTATAACTAGCAAGTAGCAGCCCGTTCCGGCTTCGCACGGGGTATACAATTATTTATTTTCGGAAATTTGGATTATTGTAGTGACATAACTACAATAGTTGGATATATGCTACCGAGGAGTTTTTTGTAGACATTATGATGTTCTTCAATATTGTTGTACATTATTTTGTTCTATCGCTAATAGTTTCGGCATCGCATTCGACGAAAGACATTTTAAGACTCATTTTTCTACACCTTCGGTTATATTGTTCTAATTTTCCAAGGATCCCTAATTAAAAAAAAAAATGAAATGTAACCTATTTCAAATTGGAAGAATGTAGCATTCTATTGGTGAAAGATTTTTTTAAATTGGCCCGGTACTTTTTGAGCCTATTCATTACAAATCTTTCCTCTTTATAATTAAATAGATCGGACTAACTTACCTGTGACGTCCGATCCTCAATTGTGTAGGTAGCGTCATCCTCGCTAATTATACTAGTAGTAGGCACTAATCTGGGCACGCTGTCACAATATTTAAAGATGAACACATTCATAAAAAAAATATTTATACTCTATGGTCATCTCACTGGCAACATCATTTACTTCAAAGCACCTGCAACTGCAACACAACTCGACCAGGGGTAAAAATAAACATGTTTATTATCCGGGAAGGGTTGGGACCTAGCGAGGATGACGCTACCTACACAATTGAGGATCGGACGTCACAGGTAAGTTAGTCCGATCTATTTAATTGTATAGGTAGCGTCATCCTCGCTAATTATACTAGTAGACGTTCAAAGAAGGAGTTGTGTTGACAAACAACACTGTTTAATCATTGAACATTGTTGCACTTAAACAAGATATATGACATTGTCAATAACATCAATATCTCACGAGTACTATATAGTACTAGTAAAAACTTAAGCAATAATCA